TCTCCTAAAAACCACAAATGACATTCCATTTTTAATTATGAGCCAGCCTTAGAAGTTTTTCACTGTCTGCTCTTTTTGCTCGGTTACACTGCTGACTCGTGTGAACTGAGTGTGAGTGTATTACTTGAAACAAACGAGTAGTCGTCTACAATTGTGTCAACGACTTCTTTGGAATGTTCGGCTGTGTGTAGTCGTCTACAATTGTGTCAACGACTTCTTTGGAATGTTCGGCTGTGCCGTTATTACTTGAAACAAGCGAGTAATCGCTGAAATTGTATCAACGACTTCTTTGGAATGTTCGGCTATGCCGATGCATTTAAAATTGTGTCAACGACTTCTTTGGAATGTTCGGCTATGCCGATGCATTTCTTAATGTAAACGACTTCTTTGAAATGTTCGGCTGTGCCGATGCATTTCTTAAATACTATGTACCAAGAGGGAGTTAAAGGCGTTTTCCCATATTTCCTTTCAAAAACTTGACTTGACTTGAAAAAAATGCTGCTGGAAATGAAAGAGCTCACTTTTTTCTTTATATTAGAGCATTTTCACCAAACTTTGAGCTCCATTCTAAGACAGCGAATGCAAAAGATATGGCCAAACATACACTAACGTTTTGCAAATACAGTTTCTCTGTTCCGTTTTTGACACATTAGCTGTAACTATAAGATACAAAAAAGTATCTTGTCATATAATTTAAATTTAACGAGAATGGGTCTATCTCTATGTACGGCGTAAAATATATGCATTTTTGCTTTCGTTCCCAAATAGTCGATGCGTTAAAACAGAATACGGTTAAAACTGTTTTACTACATTTTGACACACAAAAAATTCAGACATTGGCAAGAAGAATAATTGTAAAACTAAAATTGTCCCCTACTTCTGAAAACAATGCGATACTTTATCCTCATTTTCATCAACGGAAGACTACATTTGGCGGTTCTGAAAGGGATCTATTTTTTTTAACTTTTCTCGCACACTGCACGAAAGTTTTGGTTCTGTCATGCAAGGGCAGTGTGTTTCTATATCCTTCAACCTCCGATTTCGCCAAAATTCTCATGGCTTTTCTCAAATAACCTGAACTGAACATACAGTTTTCCTTACTGTTTCTGGGGATCACATCCACCCGTCAGATCAAGGCAACTAGACCAAATGTATACTAAACATCCAATTCTAATTACGGTCATGACTTTACCTAAGTTAGTTCACCTACTGTAGATGCCTGCTTGTCACTTTTATCGTTTTCGAGAATGCTAAAGTGTCTAATTTACTTTTTTTGTCTACAGCTGCAGATTCTCGCCTTCGCGAGGTTTATTAAAACCTTCTCGCCCACTGGACCGCCTCCCAACTGTCCCTACCGCCTGATTCTGGTTGGCGGTTCCCGCGATGACAAGGACGCTGTTCGAGTGGAAAAACTACGGGAACTGGTGGAAAAGTCTGGTCTCAGCGATCTGGTTGACTTTCATATTAATGCCTCCTGGGACACTCTCAGCGAGCTCTTCCAACATTCTACCATCAACTTGCATTCTATGGTAGATGAGCATTTTGGTATTGGTAAGTGTGGTTTAGCTGATTATCTTAACTTGTTGCCTGACTGCTATGACGTTTCCAACTTACTGACTTTGGATTGGTACCGTATTTTAACCATGACTATTTGCCTATTTAGTAGCCTTGTTGTATTTAATTGATCTCATCCCAATGCAACTCGGCGACGTTCTCTAGCCATACATACATCTAGTGACCAATCTCATGAAATTGGAAGCGAAATTCTTAAATGCACCTTCAATTAGGAAGGGTCGCTTATGCGGAATTAAAGTTATTAATAATCGTTCGGCATAAGCCCGTGATAGCTTTTCGGTCGCCTGCAAAAACTAAACTTGGTAAAATAATAACTACCTTAGTAATATAGCTTTTCATGTTTGATGCCCATTAGAAACTCAAATGTAAATAAATGAGAATGTGAACAGAAAATATTTTTTATGTACTCATTTGGTAGCAAATCACGTCTTCGTCAACATTTATACTCAAAGAAGGGATATACAATAGTAGAGAATATTCGAGTCCCAGGAAGCAGTTCAGAGGAAGAAGATG